CCAGAGAAGATTCATTTGCAAAGGATCTAGCTGGTCCTGTCTCATACTGGCTATCTGACCTGGTCAGTCGCTTTCCTCCACCACCCTGAGATTGTGACTACGTTTGCTCATTTCTCTTTCAGTAGCGAAAGCTTTCAACCTTACTCTTGGGGACTCACGTTTTATGAACATCAACTGGTTGAGCAAAAGACTGAACTGAACGCTTGTAATGAGAAAGAGTCCTCTGTCTGGTTTCTTTTTGATGCCCCTTTCCCTTGTAAAGCATGGAGGGAAGAAGTGGCTGCGTGCGAACTTTAATGAGACTGCATTAAATACGCTTCCCAGTCTTCCACTTGTCAGGCATCGAAAAAAAAAAATCACTGATTTTACAAGAATTCAGTACGTGGGGGTGGGGTGGGGGTGACGAGGATTAACTCAGAGAGTTTTCTTGCTCAGTCAGGAGGACACAAGCTCCAGAAGAAAGACAATTTTACTGGAGGGGCGGGAGGAAGGAGCACTGGGCTGGCGGCCTTGCTGGCAGTCTCAGGAGTACAGTGTGATAAGCCAGGAGTGGTGCAGGCTCTGGGCTGTCCGGTGCTGCCTGGTGTGACGGACTATGACGTCCAGGAGAACTAACAAAGACTATAGCAAGATGAATGCAAAGCCATTCACAACCATCAGCAGTCATTTCTACAGTGAAAAGAAACCCCAGATGAACAGTATTTCAAGGGAATAGCTCTGCTAATTACTAGAAAATCGAAAAGTCTCCTAGTATCTCCTAATGACTCACCTGGCTGTTGACCACTGTGTGTGTGTGTGTATGTGTGTGTGTGTGTGTGAGAGAGAGAGAGAGAGAGAGACAGAGACAGAGACAGAGACAGAGACAGAGACAGAGACAGAGACAGAGAGTGTGTATTGAGACAGGGTTTCTCTCTATAGCCTGGCTGTCCTGGAACTCACTGTGTAAGCCAGGCTGTCTTTGAACTCATAGAGATCTACCTGCTTCTGCCTCCCAAGTTTGGCGATCAAAGGCGTGTGCCAGCACACCCTGCTGGACCGCATTTTTTTTTCTTGTATACTCTTTGTATCTTAAGGACATCATTTTTGTCACATTGCCTCTTTGAGTCGCTGGAAGAGGTAACACAGGGTCTTGCTACGTAAGCTTGAGGCTGGCCTCAAGCTTGCTGCTGTCCTCCTGCCTCAACCACCTAGAATGCTGGAATTTGTGGTGTGAGCCATCATCACTCCTGGCTGATTACAGCAGTTCTCGGAGAACATAAAGACAAGTCTCTTTTCCCCTAGTTTGGGTAATTAGCATTTCTTTAAAATATTTTACTATTTATTTATTTATTGTGTGTAGGAACTGTTGCACCTCCCACTGCCCAAGCCAGGAGAGGTCAGAGGACAACTTTACGGCGTTGATCTGTCTACCATGACAGTCCTGGGGCTTGAACACAGGCCATCCAGCTTGGCAGCAGTGCCTTTACCCACTGAGCTACCCTGCTAGTCCCAAAATTTCTTATTTATTACTAGTCATCGGATAATTAAATGTTTGATATCATATATGAGTAGATGCTGTGTATGTCTACTGTAAGTTTATACTTTGTTTCTGTAGAAATCTTGATTTCTGAATCTATTTCTTGTGATTCTGAATCTATTTCTTGTGATTCTGGCCAAAGGAAATATAGAGAGCCGGAAAGATGGTTCATCCTAGTAAGGGCACTTGCCACTAAGCCTGGCAACCTTCCATCAATTCCAGGAACCCACATGGTTGAAGAGAGGACCAACTCCTGCCAGGTGTCCTCTGACTTTCACATGAATGCCATGGCACAGCACATACAAAATAAATAAGTAAACAAACAAACAAATAAATATAAAACACTTTAAAGAAAAACCATAAATGATTCACGCACCGTTGCGTTTGCCGCCTTACTTCACTGGTTACATTCTTGATGGAAAAAACTTCTGCTTGGAGCAGAGCTGGTGGCAAGCGCCCGGCTTACGATTTTATGTGCCTGATGTCTGCCAGTACGACACATGGGCTAGCCTCTGACCCTGCACACTGCTAATCTTGTTTCGTTTTTATTGGTCTGTTTGGGCCAGGTGCCACGGGACATTTGTTCATTTGTTTCTTTTTAAATTAATTAGTTAAGTAATTTAAACGGATTTGTTTATTTTTAAAAAGTGTGTGTGTGTGTGTGTGTGTGTGTGTGTGTCTACTTGGTTTATGTGTACCACCTGCAGGCAGGTATCCTTGTAGGCCAGAGGGCATTATATCCCTATAATATATATCTAAAGTCATAGGTGATTGTGAGCTGCCTGATGTGGGTGCTGGAAGCCAAACCCCATCCTCTCTTAACCCTGAGCCATCTCTCCAGCCCTCTCATTTCTTTTCTTTCTTTCTTTCTTTCTTTCTTTCTTTCTTTCTTTCTTTCTTTCCTTTTTGTTTTTGTTTTCAAGACATAATTTCTCTGTGTCACAGCCCTAGCTATTCTGGAACTAGTTCTCATAGACCAGGCTGGCCTCGCACTCCCAGAGATCCACCTACCTCTACCTCCCGAGTGCAGGGATTAAAGGTGTGAGCCGCCACCACCCGGCTTCCCTCATTTCTTTTTACTGAAAAGTTTATTTGAGAATCTATTCCAAAAAAATACTGGTAAACAGAGAGGGTCAAAGGGATAAAAGGGAGGGAAATAAACCAAACAAAAGTGCGTACCTGATCAGTAACTTCTGTGGATGATAAATCAGGAACAAATTGAAACCAACAACACAAGGAATTCCAAACGCAAGCCGATCCCCACAATAGCAGCTCCTGGTGGACAGTCCCTAATTACCTGAGATGCTTATTAGAACGTCTGGGGAGCTTTTATTTGAAATTTCATCCTTGCGGGATAGACTCTTATTGTGACACAATCCCAGATCCATGAGCTTCCTCTCCTGTCAGGTGCAGGCGGCAAGCGAGAGCAAGCAAGTGAGCAAGCGAGCGGGGATAAAAGGATTCTTGGCAGTGTTCCCACGCTGGGATGAGCTGACAAAACACACCCTGGAAATGACACAACACATGTGACTAGAGCCTACTTAGCCCACGCTAAACGACGGATCCTAGTTAATATTCCTCTGGGTGAACCCCCCCAAAAGTGCCCACAGCTGTTCCAGGCCCCAAACACGAAGGGAAGTCAGAGAGGAAGAAGGGGGTAGTTAAAATGTCATTATATGTCCGTGCGCAAAGTGAAGCCCCTCTCGGGGTTTGGAAAGACCCATGAAGCCGCAGCCTCGCCACAGGAAACACACCTCTGACCCCATGTGGCTGCACACCTGGCTGATAACCAGAAGCATCTGTGGCCCATAAGAGCAATCCAGCCACCACGGCCTCTCCACTGTGGCTCTGCTCCCACAGGAGAGGGAAGAGGTGTTAAGCAGCTGGGAAGAGGGTCATAGGAGAGAAAGGGAGGAAATGCGGAGGACATCCCGGGTCTCTGAATTCATTGTCTCCAGAGTTGCCCTGGTGACCCGCGAGTCGTCATATGGTAAAGTTTCTTGGCCTTCTGAGAAATGACAGCAGCCCAGGCCACCTTCCCCAAATTATTGTCACCGCTTTCCCCAGCCAAAACACAGACTGCTTCTCCCTCTGCACTCTCAAGTCTGACCAGTTTTAAATATGATGCACAATGCTTGGTTCACACACATACACACTCACACACATACACACTCTCACACACACACACACATACTCTCACACACACACACACTCACACACATACTCACACACACATACTCTCACACACACTCACACATACACACACACTCACACACATACTCACACACTCTCACACACACTCACACACATACACACACACACACACACACACACACATCTTGTGAATCTTGAGGGCAAACATTAGCTCAGGAGCTGACCTGACTACTAGAAGCTAAAACTAGCTATGAGAAGCCTAGAAGATCACCTGTTTCTCCCTATGTTCCAGAAAGTGCACTTGTGGAGGTCAGAGCCTCCCCCAAGGTTACAGAGGTCAGTTCTCTCTGTCACCACGCATTCCCGGGATCGAACCCTGGCCCCAGGCATGTGTACTGATGACTTTTACCTGCTCACCCCCCTTACCGGCCATCACACAGTTATTTGTTAGTTTGTTTGTTTCATTTTAGATAGGGTCTCACCATCTAGCCCTGAGTGACCTGGAACTCACTACAGAGACCAGGCTAGTCTCAAGCTCACAGAGATCTGCCTTGCTCCGTCTTACAGCTGCTAGGATTAAAAAAAATATGAGCCACCACGCCCTGCTCTGTATGGCATTCTTAAAACAATATGGGGCTGGAGAGATGGCTTCACAGAAGAGTGTAGTTCAGTTCCTGGCATCCACATGGGGAAGTTTACAACTTCCCATAACTCTAGCTCCAGCAAATCCAGCTTCCTCTTCCAAGCCTCAAGGGGTCTTGCACATATGTGCACACATACACACACACACAAACACAAACACACATACTCATGAAAACAAATATTTTCAAAAATCCCCCAAAAAACACAGTAACAGACCTTTTTGTGGAGTCTGTCCCTCTGCCTCAGTTCCCGAGGACAGAAGCAGCTGCCTTCGTTCACACATCTGTCTTGTCCTTGCTGTCTTGTACCTGGACCTAGTGAGTCAATCTCTCTGAGCTTCTCTTGCCTGGATTGGCTCATAGTTCGCTGATAGAATTATAAGGATTACGTGAAGTGATGTTTGGGAAAAGCTACATGGGATGTTGCTCAATATATTAGTGGTTCTCACTGTTTTGCCACATACAAATGATAAAAATGAAGGAGAGAGGTGGGGGTGGCTGGAGAGATGACTCACTGGTTAAGAGCATTTCCTACTCACCCACAGGACCCAAGCTTGATTCCTAGCACCCACGTTGGGCAGTTCACAACTGTCTGTAGCTCCAGCCCCGGCTCTCTGGTACTTCTGGCCTCTGCAGGTGCCTGCACTCTTACGCACAAACCCTTACACAAATATGCATAGACACAGATCTAGAGATAAAAAGAAGTCTTAATATATTTTTTTTTAAAGAAAGTGACCCACGAGAGTGGCTGCAAGATGTTCTCAAACACTTGTAATAGAAAGCTCACTAGATCTTTCAGAGTATTGACAGTGTTCATAAAAATTTAATGTGTACATATCTCCTTTCTAGGGACATGCTGCAAACTGAGCTAAATTAATTGGTTAGGCAGCAACCATCCGTTCTCCTGATGAAACCCAATCCACTCCAGTGAAGAAAAGTAGATGACCCAGTCTTAATGGTTAAAGCCAATCCAGACTATGGCGTAGATACGAGACGAGTTGTGCAGATTACTAAAGCTGTGGTAGATATGGTGATGTGTTGATGGAGCCCTCTGGATTTGCCCTTCCTTCTTCCTTCCTTCCTTCCTTCCTTCCTTCCTTCCTTCCTTTCTTTGTTCCTTCTTTCTTCCCTCCTTCCTTTCTTCCTAGACCAGGCTGGCCTTGAACTCATAGAAATCTGTCTGTCTTTGTCATGCTTGAATTAGAGGCCTTCATCACCCAGCCTGGCCCTTCTAACTTCTTTCTAATACATTTTTATAGAGCAGTCAAAATTCTCTTTCCTTCTGCTCTTTGAGTTGGCATCTGTGGTGGTTTGAGCAAGAATGGCCCCACAGAATGCTGACCAACATATCCAAAGACAGGGGTTCAAGCCTCAGCACTACAAGGTGGTGAAAACAGCAATAAATTCCAGAGGGGGGAAAAAAAGACAAAACTTTAGTCTCTAGGGTAGTAAACTGTGGGAAGGCAACTAAAAAGAAGATCAATGGACAGGATGAGCAAGTCAGGAACACCCATCACACAGAGTCCTCCGGTGCCGTCTCTCGGCAGTGTCTGCTGCTGTTGGTGACCCCAACACAGCTACTATGCTGGTAGCCAAACAAGTGGAGAGGGTGGCGGCTCGCTTGCACGTGCTTCTTCCTTCCTTTCCCCCTTTTCTTCTTCTTTTTTCTTCTGAGACAGGCTTTCTTTGCTGTTCTGAAACTTGCTCTGTAGACCAGGCTGCTCTTGAACTCACAGAGGTCCACCACCTCCCTCCGCCTGCAGAATACCGAATGGAATTAAAGGCAGAGCCATCCATCCTCCTTTTCCAATATAGTAACAGAAATGTCTTCTGCTGGGATCAAAGGCGTCCGCCACCACCGCCTGGCTGCATCTGCTTTTTAAATTAAGCTTTTAGTCCAGAAGTACCCAGAGTCGCACATTCGAGGTGGCTCCTTCTCCTGTCCTCTGCACTTCCACGCTCTCCACATTTCCAAAGCATCCTTATCTCTATTGGGAAAAGATAAGTAATGAGCAGGGTTAGTGGAAAGTCCAGCGCCCTCCTAATTCACAGCTTCTTGACCTGCGGTGTTATCCCCTGTGGGGTCATGTGGGGTCATGTGGCTGACCTGTAGTGGTATCCCCTGTGGGGTCGTGTGGCTGAATGTGGGGGCAGCAAATAGCTCAGCAACAATAAAAGGTTTCGGAAGGCTCAAGGACCAAAGACTGAATTGAAAACCAAGCACACAGCGAACCTGACCTCTTTCTGGCGGCTCTTGCCTTTGTTGCCGTCCATGACGTCACTGCAGCCTAGGCTCTGAACGTACATGTGTGCATTGTGCTCTGTACAGTGTGGCCGCACATGGTTGGGGAGCAGTGACTGAAACAGCTTGGCTCAGACTGGAGACTACTGTATGTTATATGTAGCAGGAACTGCGCTGTTTCAGATATATATATTTATATATATATATAAAATAATTACAGAAAACAAAGACTTTAAGTATAATTTTACTATCATTTCTCAGTAAGTATCAAGTTAGTATTTTTATTGTACTAGAATGTTTCACTTTAAATATATATATAAATACACACACACACACACACACACACACACACATTAGTTGTCTGTCACGGTGGCACACGCATTAATCCCAGGACTTGGAAGGCAGAGGCAGGAGGATCTCTGTGAGTTTAAGGCCAGTCTGGCCTACACAGTGAGTTTCAGGTCAGGCAGGGGCTACACATTGAGACCCTGTCTACAAAGAACAAATAAACAAAATTCACATTTCCCGTTGGTGCGAGAGTGGTGGGTGTCTGTGGGCGTGTATGGATGGGGGGGTGCTTGTGCCACTGGCACATCTGTACAGAGAACACTTACAGACGTCAGGTCTCTCCTTCCACCGAGTGGGTCTAGGGGACTCAGCTGGATAGTCAGGCACTGAGCCATCTCACTGGCCCAGTTTTGATTTTTAAAATTGCTGTTTGAGTTGCTGACTTGGATTTTATTTAAAAGTCATCAAGTGAATTTTGGCTTGGGGTTAGGAAAGATTTTTCAACAGTTTCTAAAATGGTCTTAAACACATTTCCTCCGTTTTTATACAATATATGCATGCAAAGGGGAATTCTTAACATTGATGATTATAAATCAAAGCAGTAATCAACTAAAACAGTGCTGAAGATGCTTGAGGAGCCGCAGGATCAGACACTCAGCCAAGGTCTCACCGCTTTTGTAAAATTAAGTGCATGCATGTTGCTGATGTGAAAACTTACACACACCTTTAATGAATGTTGAAATCACATGTAGGCCAGATAATTGTTTTAAAATACACTTCTTTATGATTTATTCTCAGTCAATGCTTAAATTGTATACCTGTTTTATCTATTTGTATATCCAGGGTTGCATAAAAATTTCTCCAACTGTTAGGGGACAGGTCTAGAGAAATCCTGTGCTAACCCAAGACCAGGAGCTACTCAGCTTGCTGCCCCAGGGGAGGGGGTAGCAAGGGAGAGGACAACGAGGAGAGGACAGCACACACGAGCAGGGGAGAATTAGTGCTTCTCACAGATGTCTCTGGGGAGGAAGGGAAACGTTCAAACCTTCACCAACCAGGTTAGGCCACCTCCTTTCTCTCCTAGCTGCCAAAGGAAGCAAGAGGAACAGAGAGGCCACGGTTGTGACCTGAGGGAGAGTCAGCAAGCTGAGGAAGAAGGGAGCCCTTGTGGAACAGGGCAAAGGGAACTCCCATGGTCTCAAACAGTCCTGTTAAATTTTGTGTGAGGATTTTCCATTCGTGGGCAGTTTGTGTCCTCAAACAGAAGCAAAGCATACATACACACAGATCGATCAAACAAGGAAGAAACGCACAAAAGCAAAAGATGGTTTCGACTTCTGTGTAGGATGCAGTAGCCTTCAGCCAACCAGAGTTTCTGCCAAGAGAAACTGGAAAAACCAGGTTCAATTGAAGAAAAAAAAAAAATCAGTTTTCAAAATCACTATGGAGCTGGATGAAGTAACAAGCGTGGGAGGGAGGAGCCAACTCCAGAGAAGGAGACTGAAGGGTGAGTGGCTAACAACTTTGCTTCGGTGCCCAGCGGACCGCTGAGCACTGAGGAGCAGCCGTGAATGACGCTATCCGAAGCAGCTCCTGCCCCCCCCCACCCCCATAGTAAAGTCACAGCTGTCGCGTGGCCCACAGGACTGTTGAAAATTGAATGACAACATGCTTATGTATACATCGGTCAGTCCCTCCAGATTATAAACCTAACGTGTGTCTTTTCATTGCTATATTCCAGCCCTGCCCTTGCACACAGTAGGCACTTAGGATCTGTCGGATTGAAGTCTAGCTGAAACAGCGCCGTGTTTTCTGGCTGGATTCCTAAGGAGGCTTTCTTCTTGGAGGCTCAGCTCTGGTTTAGGACTTTGCGGCAGCCTTTTCCTATGGAACCTGTGCCCGCCGGTTCTCTGTAATACCTCCAGGGGTTGGAAGTGGGTGGGGCTGAGAAAGCACCAGTTCAGACTCCCAAGCCACACCCAAGCCATCACCCTAAGGGCCCCGAGTCTTTTTCTCTCTAACCACAAAAGAGCCTGAGGCCCTCACAGAAAGAGTTCTGAGATTGTTCTGGGAACCTACGGGGCATTCAGTGTGTTTCCCTCAACCCATTGCACAATCTTGCCAAAGCCAGGAAGGTTGGTCAAGTCCACCTGCTCTCCCACACCTACCTCAAGATTCTAATGCCCGGCTTGCCCACCTTCAACCCTGTCCCCAGGTCCCTGGGCCGCTGTCCCTGGAACATCTACCCCATGCTGGAGTTCTGTGGAAGGCCTCACTTTCAGGATACACTGCGAACTGTTCTCTTGTGTACTTTTTACATCTTTTCCAGAGACAGAAAAAAATCCCAACTAAGCCCCCCAAACTGGGATCCACTCCCAGTCTTGTTGCTGTTCAGTCTTGGACCATCTGTTTTCTCAGGCAACTGAGTCATTCATTGTTGGCTTGAGTCCAGAGTAGCAACTTCGAGCACCCCCAGACAGCGAGCTCAGACAGTCAGGCCCAAGAAGACTGCTCTGTGTGATCAACATTTACACGGGACTTACACACCGTTGGCAACGATAGCAGGGGAGTGGGGAGGCGTCGAGCCCTGAAAAGTGGTATGGGAGCCTCACACCCTTTGGGTGTTTATCAAGCTCCAGAAGGCCCTGAGGTTCCAAGGGGAAGAGGTGTTGAGTATTGAGTCGACTCCAGAACCATGCAATAGAGTTGGTTTGCTTTTTTAACTTGTAAACAAGCTCATAATGTTTGAAGTAACTTTATGGTTTTGTGTTGGGCCACGTTCCTACCTATGGTGGGTACATGTGGTTCCTGGGCCTGAAGGTTGAACACACCTGAGTCTTACCTGGGGAGGGCAAATGACTTGGCTCATTACAGAGGCTTCCCTGTGTCATGGCTGTTCTAAGCCCTCTGATTCCTGTCTCTCCTTGGGTCCTATTCCAGGTGTCTCTCCCAGCAAGTTACAAGGTAGAGAGTAGGGTCCTGGCTCCCAGTTCAAATTCTTCTCTTCCAAGTACCAGGTCTTCTACTGTCTCCAAAATAACTTCATGGATGGTTGGAAGTCCCTGGTCCTTGATCACTCCATCCTGGATGGATCCAGGCGCAGCCCCGAGCCTGAATAGAAGGAATGCTATAAGTGCATATGAATTAAGTTAGAATGTCCAGCCAATTCACCAATGTCACGAAGAGAGTGAATGTTGGTGCCAAGACTCCCACGAAGTCGCCCCCCTTCCCCGCATCCCTTCCCCCGCCTGTATCAGCCCCCTCCACTCCCAGCTTACTTTTTAGTATGACGTGAAAGCTGTGGAGGGCCGTGTTGAGGGGAGTGAGAGTGAGGGAAACAGGGCCACAGTCACTCTATCAAAGAGTCAGGCCTCAGCAGACACCACCGCCCCCTTCCCCACAGTCAGACCTGGGCCACTGGGTCCCTGGGCTTACTGCTTGGCAGCTTTCTGCAAGGTCTGGCCTGGGCTGCCCCACCCAGCATTCTCACCACACCCTGCAATTCTCGCCACCCAGAAGTTCTTGCCACACCCTGCCTGCTCCCGGAAGGTAAACAGGGCCTCTAGAGAAGGGCTGTACTGTGTGCTTGCCCTCTTGGCCTTGGCTCTGGAGACCACAGATGGATCTTTGATTTACAAATGGCCCAGATCAATAAACATGAAAGTCAGTACTGAGGCCCTCCTGAACTTCAACTGACCTCCAAGCTTATTGGTTCTGAAGGACAAGTGTCCAGGCACCTGACTCCAGGGGACAGAACCAACTGTGCTGCCCAGGAGGGAGCTCGCACTTGGGAAAGATGGAGGGAGGAGTGTCATGTTCCCCGGGGAAGACCAAAGTTTGGTCATGCCACCAAAAGTGAAGAAACAGTTGGGATGTTAGTAAAGATCTCACAATGAGAGATGACAAAGTCCCTTTCTGTGGAGTCCTGGCCTGCACAGAGACAGTCTCTAAGGCAGACTGAGTGCCTGCTGGGCAGCCAGCAAGGAGCCTCAAATCCTTACCTTATTTGTGGAATGGGCTCAGCCACGCTGAGGGTGGAGTTCACTGTTTTCATTTCGCTGGTGAGGAAGCTGTGGTCCAGGGCAGGTTAGCAGCTGGCTCAGGGGCTGCTGATGAGCCTACAGAGGCAGAACCAGCTTCTGAACCTAGCTGAACCTCTGGTTGGAGACAATACTAAGGCAGTTCCGTCTGAGTTAATGTTGCCTCTATTTTCTCAAGTCACAGGGCAAGCAGAAAAGGGATCGCTTTAGGGTGACTTTATCCATTTTGTATGCTGCAGCAAACAAAACGTCACACACTTAGACTGTACAAACAGAAATACGTTGTTGAAGTTCAAGATCAAGGCATATCAGGTCTGGTGTCTGGTGAGATGCCCATCTCTGGTCATGGGGAGCATCTAGCTATGGTCCTCACAGCAGAAAGGCAGGGCTTTCACCAGGCACTAGCCACATTCATTCCGAACCTCAGCACCTCCGAAAGTCAGCGGCCTATAACCATCACCTTATGGATCTCACATAGGGGCTTCATGGGACACAAAGAAGACATAACAGAGAGACTGCTGAGGGTCCCCCAAAATTGTCGGGGCTCCTCAGAGTAGCAGGGCCACATGTAGAAGGCTGAAGAAACTTTTGTATGCCCAGGGAAGAAACTGGTCCATTTGACCTAAAGCTCCCGAGTGGCAAAAGTCTTTAATCCCAGGATTTGGAAGGCAGAGGCAGAGAGATCTCTTAGTTTGATGCCAGCCTGATCTACAGAACGATTTTCAGTACAGCCAGGACTACACAGAGAAACTCTGTCTTGAAACAAACAAACAAACAAAAATGTCTACTCATTGTTAACTGTGTATACTGAGAGGGTAGAGAGGTACAGGTGAGGGTGCAGAGACCCCCTCACAGAGACGATACAAGGAGTTCTTATGACCTGGCCTCCTGAGAGCTGCACCAGGTGCAGGCCTTCCGGGTAATTTCCTGCAAAGGGTGTGACAAACACCATCGGACAGAAAACTTTGTGCCCAGCACAAAGGGGCAATGCATTGAATGTGGACAGGCTGAAGCCACAAACTTTGCAAAGCCAAAGAGTTGCAAGTCATACAGCCAAAGAGTTGCAAGTCAACCGTGAGCAGGCTTTCCCACGTAGGAAGTCTAGCAGTAACCTTGGTTTATCGGGCTCCTGGTTATTAGTGCCCCTTTGCAAATCCTCCAAGAAATGTACTAGAACATTCACTTGATTTTTCCCATATACTGGATCTTTCTTTCAATTAGTACGTTTGAAATATTTCAGGAGTAATTAACAATGGTTTAGGATCCGGATTTTTCCTCAAGCGGGAACCCGGATTGTTTAAGCCATTGGCGCCCCCTGCTGGATATCTAGGAAGAAACACGCCTCTAGAAAGAGCTGGTTCTTTCAAAGTTTCAAAGTTCTTGCAAAAGGTCCTGCCCTATTCCAGGGTTCTTCTTACTGTCCTTCCAGGACTGGAAAGTTCAGTGGTAGTGCTGGAAATAGCAGTGAAGCTTAGCGAGGAAGAAACTCGACTCGAGAGCCAGGATGCCCTCACACCAAATTTCTGGTTCTGTGCGACTTTTGGGCTACTGACGCTCCCTGTGTCTTACCATGAAGGACTGGCATGAAAATTAGGCCCTACCTCCCAGAACACCTATGAGATGTAAACGAAAGACTGTCTCAAACACTAACTGAAGGGCTATATCAATACTAAGAGGAGCACCCAACACAGGGAGAGGAGCGTGTTAATTACACACGCACTGTTCCTTGCTATTATGAATGACACCAACATAGAGCCATTTTTGACTAACAGCATCTAAATCTTTCTTCCCCTGTCCGAAACCTAAGGGTCACTCTCATGGTCATAAGGAATTCTGACCATTTAGGCAGGGAGGTGCTATAGGAAGGACGATGGCAGAGATAACAGAACACATAAGTGGTATCTTCCATCAGTAAACCTCCAGTGACTCCGCCGGGACCCACTCCTGCTGTGGGGTGTATCGTGGAGCCTTATTCTAGTTTGGAAAGGATGGAAGAAATCACTACTGCTATAAAAAAAGACTTTCTCAAAGGTGAATGGTAGACTAAATCTCATATCACTCTAGCGGTTCCGATGTTTGCTGGGCTTTTCAGCTTTTTCTCTGAAGACAGAATAAGCGGTGGACAGTCTCTTATTTCTGCAGGTGGGGAAGTTGGCTGTAGCTTCATTGCTGAGTAATGATCTCAGCCAAGCAATTAGAAGTCTCAGGAAACTAGAGACTATACAGGTGCACACTCATGTATGTAATAGAGATAATGCATGTGTCTGCAAATCTATACACATGTAGATTTCATTCTAAGGTATACAGTGCAACTATGCACATACATGTATATAAAGTACACTCAAAAATATCCAGCATGGGGGAGGGAGGCTGGAGACATGGCTCAGTGTTTAAGAGGACTGGCTGCTCTTCCAGACGTCCTGGGTTCAATAGCCAGCAACCACATGGCAGCTCACAACCATCTGTAACTCCAGTTGCAGGAGATTTGACACCCTCACACAGACACACATACAGAAAAACACCAATGCACATAAAATAAACATAATTTTTTTTTTCAAGACAGGGTTTCTCTGTAGTTTTGGAGCCTGTCCTGGAACTCGCTCTTGCTGGCCTCAAACTCGCAGAGATCCACCTGCCTCTGCCTCCCAAATATTGGGATTAATAACTATTTTTAAAAATTTAGAATGCCTTACATGTGTGCTCCTTTGGGTCAGATTTTAGTGGCTGTGAGGAGGGAGGTAGACACGGGAAAGATTGCAACAGTTAAGGGGCGCCAGAGCAAGGTGCTCTGTTAAAAGCTGGAAGCAGGGCAAGCCAGGTCTTGGAAAAGCGGGGGACATGATATCGTATCTAAAGAATGCAGCAGCCAGGTAGTCTAAAAGGTAGATTTCGGCATGGTCACAGTTGTGACAGAAACAGCTCTTTGGCTGTTTTGCACAGGAAATTGTACTAAGGTGTACAATTTGTGTAGAGCTCTCCTAGCCCCATGACGTGCCACCTCTGACATTCTGGAAGCCAGCACTCGGCACCACACCCGGCCAGAGCTCTGCCACCCTCTCCACTCTCCACTCGCAAGGGTGGGAGCTTCAGGAGAGAGTGGGGAGGGGCTTTTTCTTCTGTTTCGGTCTCTCTGGACCTTAGCATAGCACCTGACATGACTGGTATGTGGCCAGTATTGGTTGTATGGGGGAATTGATGGACAGACAGATACAGTTGGACAGATACAGATGGATGTGTAGATAAACGAAGGAATGTCTTAGGGTTTCTACAATTGCCACCAAACACCATGACCAAAAAGTGAGTGGGAGGAAAGGGTTTATTAGGCTTATGCTTCATCACTGAAGGAAGTCAGGACAGGAACTCAAACAGGGTAGGATCCCACTGATGCAGAGCCCGTGAAGGGAAGCTGCTTACTGACTTGCTTCCCCTGGCTTGCTCAACCAACCTTCTTACAGAACCCAGGACCAACAGCCCAGGGATGGCACCACCCACCATGGGCTGGACCCTCCCCCATTGCACTAAATGAGAAAACGCCTTACATCAAAGCATTTCCTCAGCTGAGGCTCCTTCCTCTCTGATGACTCCAGCTTGTGTCAGGTTGACACACAAACACAACCAACCAGGCAGTGCAAGGAATCAGGGAATGGGTGGGTGGATGAAGGGAAGAAGCAGAGAAGTGTGAGCCCGTGTCTGCTTCCTTTGCGGCTGCTGGGATCACATCTGCTGACAAACACATTCTGAGGGAAGAGGGGAGCATCATCTCACATCACAGTCACAGTCAGGAGAACAGGGAGCGACCAATGCAGGCTGCTGCTCAGTTCCATCTCCACGGATGCAGTTCAGAAATCCCTGCTCAGGAATTGTCTTCTCTACCACTACGATAGCTCTTTTCACACCAATTAATGTAATCAAAATCAACCCTCCTTGATTCGACCAGTGATGGTCTCCCAGGTGATTCCAGATGCAGGACAATGAACTCTAACCACCACAGGCTAGAAGGGGGACTCCTTCCTGGCTAAAGAGTTCCAGAGAGGCAGAGCAAGGGCCTGTGGCTATCTGCTGCCGTATGCCTTCTAGCAGAGAGAAGGACCTATGGCAACAGCGTTCCATGGTGGTTTGAGAACATGGGTTAGTGTTCTGAGTCAGGGAGGCTTTGCTGGCACAGCCGAAGAGTCCCCTGGCTGACGAAACAGTCTCAGAGACACGCAGGTGGAAAGCCGTCAGGGAAGCCGCCCAGGGCTGGTTTTAAAATGTCCAATCCTATTGCTGTGGGTTGGGTATGGGTCCCCCAGGGGCCATGGATGAAAGGCTTGATCTTCAGGCTGTGGCGCTATGGGGAAGTGATAGGGACTTTAGTAAGTAGGACCGACTGGGAGTTTTCAGGTCATTGGGATTATGCCCAATCTTTTCCCTTCT